ATGTATTAAAGATATTCTAGTGGAAATATTTGTGACAATTCTTATTCTCTATGTGAATGTCAATTATATTCAGTTTAGAGTCTAATTACACAGTATTGTCAATGACAATATAAACTGTAAATCAGAATCTGTGCATGCAAAACACACATGCAAAATATGTTTTGAGTGTTTTTATGATTTTTTGTGCGTGAAAAACGCATGTTTTTGCGTTAAAGCAAACACTGTGTGAGAGATCCCTGTCACATCACGGTAAATACAGAGGAGCCACCTACAATGCGTGTAACTTGAGGCTTAGAATAAACCCCAAAAGAATACCAATACCTGGAGGATATAATGCTCACTTAATCATGCAGGCTATCACAAAAATCGTTGGTAACTTAACATGCATCTCCAATGACATGGAAAGATATATATATCATTATCTTTGAATGGGTTGAACTTCATCAACAGCGTTCAGTTTCAGTTCCTCTCAAGACACTTTAGTGAATACGAACAACCCAGATGTATTCGCTATAACAAGTCAATACACCGACAAGTCAACTCAACCTTTGTTACTGGATGATTGTAAGTTTCACCGAAACAAAATGACCCCCATCCAATCATTCTATTGTAACTTAACCAAATCCAAAATAACTGATGACGTTTACGAACACACCTTCAACATATGGGATAAACTAGGCTGTAATAATTTAGGTGATTTTCATGATCTATATTTACAAACTGACGTCCTGCTACTCGTCGATGTATCTGAGATATTTAGAAAGACCTGCTCAAAGCAATACGGCTTGGACCCCACATGGCATTACTCCAGCCTCGGTCTCTCATGCGACGCATTGTTAAAAAAGACCGGAGTAGAACTGAAATTATATGACTGGACTATGACATGCACCTGTTTGTTGAGAAAGGCCAATGAGGTGAAATTTCAATAGCTGCTAAACAATACCCAAAGGCCAACAATAAATTTGTGGAAGGCTATAACCCGAGCCAGCCGGAAAGCACATTCTTTACCTCGACACAATTTCTATGGATGGGCTGAGTCAGCTTTTACCCACTGGGGGTTTAGAATCGACAGGCAATGTTGACGTGAATAGTATTACTTCTGATTCAAACAAAGGGTACATACTCAAAGTTGACCTGGAATACCTTAGAGAACTACACAAATCACACAAAAGTTATACACGTGCTCCCGAACAATTAAGTTAATAGAGATTGGATGTCTGAATATCAACAAAACTTGTTGGGAAATAATAAGTTAGCCAATGTGGAAAAACTCGTACCAAACTTGATGGATAAAACAGATACATCGCTCACTATCAGAACCTGCAGCCACACCTGTCATTGGGTATAAGACTAAAGGAAATACATAGAGTTCTTAAATTTGATCGAATTCAAAGGATTGAGCCTTACATAAGGCTGAACAGAGACTTAAGAAAGCAGGCCACCAGTGATTTTGAAAAGAAGCTAATGAACAACTATGGAGAATATAAGCAAACATGTTAATGTTAAGTTAGCCAGATCTAATGTGGAAAAAAGACTTAGGAAACTGATAGCGAGCCCAGCCTTTAACAGAAGTAAAATATTTGATAACAACTTAGTAGCATTACACATGAAAAAGAATAACATAAATTTCAAAAGATCAGTATACGTCGGTATGAGTATTCTAGACTTATCCAAACACTTGATGTATGACTTTTACTGCAGCGAGTGTGACAGAGTGAGTTTTATGCCGCTTTGAGCAATATTCCAGCAATACGATGGTGGGGGACATCAGAAATAGACTTCACACATTGTACCCATGTGGGGAAATCCAACCCGGGTGTTTTGGCGTGACGAGCGAACCCTGTCTGTAAATAATTGAGTCAGGACATTCCAGTGATCAACAGCATGAGCTTTAATCTGCTCAATTGGGAACCGATGACATGTATCAACCAAGTCAGCAAGCCTGACCACCCGACCCTGTTAGTCGCCTCTTACTACAAGCATGGGTTACTGAAGATCAATTCTAACCCGGGCCTTCACAGGTCACTTTGAAGTGACAAGCATAGGATATGTGGGTTCCGGTTGAACAAGACATTGTTGTCACCCTTAGATAACAGAAGATGGATTGCTGATGACAGTATAACTGCTTATGCGTATTGGTATCACTGGGAGCAATGAGCAACTCTTCTTGTACAAATCCCCTGCCTGGTCCATCCTTAGGGTGACTGATTTATTGTTAAAGATGTGTCATAGTAGATAGTGTTTAATCCAGATATATAGGATGCATGAAAACTACTGAATAAGAAAATGTTAACTGTAAATGGTATATTAACAATACTGTCTCATGTTTTGCACTTTCTCTTGTTCCTTGGACTATGGAGTAGAAACTACCTGAAGCAATTTTCAGCCTCTTCTAACACCGTACCAAACACTCCTCTGATCAATTTATCATAGAGTCACTGGAAGCTCATGCAGAGAGTGCAACTTGCCCATGCTCCTCATGTGACTGCCAGCTGAAATCATCCTCATTTCTCATAGTCAGAACTATCCTGTAAAATCTGTGTACAGACAGGTTTGTCAGGACAGAAACCATCGCGTGAGGTATGTAAAGTATTATAAGTATACAATTACTGGTTAAAAATTTCAAATATTTAAACTTATCCTATCTGACATAATGTACTTATCCCACAGTTGGTCGCTGGAGTGCAGATAACACTTGTCTGTAGGAGCACGACAACCGTGAAAGTTCTCCAAATGGAGCAAACGATACAAAATATATTGCTGGGAATATTTAAACAGAAACCAAAATAAATTAACAACCACAATCCCCACCTAATCCCGAACTAATATACATCTAGAATACTACAACTGTCTCATAACAGCTTCCTAACAATTACCCTGTATATATATATATATATAAAACTAAATACCTTTATTCCCCTAACCACCTATACCTACATCTACCCTACTATTTCCTAAGTGCTTCGCTGTGAGAAGGGGGTCAACTGTTTCGCCTCGAAACAAGGACTGGTCCGTCACGGAGCAAATTCTACTTATCACAAAGCAAACTGGGAAACTGTTTCGTCTCGAAACAAGGGCTCACCTATCCTCGGATGTTTCCAACTCAGACAATAAAACACCTGTCGTGTGCTCCTTATATATGCAATAGTGGGCCTGTCCCCTTGGAATGGAACCTTCCTGTCCGTGCAGCCAATCGCTGCGCCGAAATGGCGAGCGAAACCAAACAAACCAGCGACAGCCCTAACCCGCATGTCTCCGTGAACACCAGTAAGAAAATCCATTTAATATACCAGAATTTATCATTTATACCCCCAAATAAGCTAGTAACGCTAGCCCACCCCTTCCTTATATCGAAAGCACCTATTATACTTATCCCCCCGTTACACTTGCAACCCTCTGTCAAAACATCTCTGTTAGCTCTCCATTCCGCTCCTATCCTATCAAATGACTCTCACCCTATTCGACAATCAAGGACCACAAGAGAGGAACTCAATAATAGAATTTGAAATTTATACTCCACTAATGTGATTGCTCATGTGTGTAGAGGTTAGTGAATATATGTGTGGATTACCTCAATGTCAATGCACCAGGCTTCATAGCCTTTAACATTGCTGTATTTCCACACCTCAAAAGAACACAGAGTGGTTGATAAAAAGTGCCATGGTGACAAATAAAAACTGAGAAGTCTCGAAAATAATGTGATACAAAAACCATCTCTGATTCCCAGAAACACACCTCCATAATCGATGACTATGAGCAGCTACCACGAAGTGCCATAGGCAAGGCTACTGCTCTCATTTCATCAGGGTTGGAAGCAACTGGAAGGTGTAGACAAGCAGATGTGTAAGCTTTGAAAAATACGGAACGCATCCAGAAAGAGTATGGTGGTGTGAGATGCTTCAGCTGTAGAGGTAGTGGAAAGAGGGATGAATAAGCACTTATGCAACACATGATGATCTTGTGAGGCAATTTCAAAGCCCTGATGGAGCAGATCTTTGTTATCATCAGGCCTGAGAATAGAGGAAAATGGCTGAATAGTGAACAATCTATCCAGCTTTCCCAGAAACTTGTTTGTTCACAATGAAATCCATCTGATCCACCCAGGGACTATCTGAACAAAAGCTGTAGTCCGTAAGGAGGTAACACTCACCTTTACAATATTCCTCAAAGCCCTTCCATTATCATGAGCTGATGCGATCACCCGAGCAACTCTCTTGGAATATCCTTTACATGTCATGCCTCAGAGGTAGAGCCAGAGGGTTTGCGTATGCAAGGTTGGTCAGACCTGCAAACCAGCTTTATGCCAGCCAATAGGGTGCAACCAAAAAATAAATCCTCTTTGTTGACTGAAGTTTGTGAAGAACTCGAGGAAGGAGGCCTGTTGGAGGAACTGCATAAGTGTTCAGGCCTTACCAAGAGATTGACAGATAGAGTATCATGATCCCAAGATAAGAGTGAGTGTGTCTGGAATTGGAGACAGAAACCTTGGAGCTGAATGCTGAACAGAGTCAATTGGTCATCTTCAGACTGAAGGAACGAAAGATCTCCAGATCGAGTTCTCCATTCAGTCATTCAGTTCTCCATTCTGCAATGATGTTTTGAACCCCTGAAATATGATGGGCTCTGTCCTTGATCTAAAGAGAGTCTATTAGATGAGAGTGAGTGAGTGAGTGAGTTAATATTTAACGTCACATTGGCAATATTTCAGCCATATCGTGACGAGAACATTTTACATTGTAATGGAATATGTATATTTTATAAAACCTGTCATCGAAGGACAGTAAAGCAACTAGAGTATCACAGATATATATATGTAAAACTAGTAATTGAATCTAAAACATTTTAACCATAGGGGACAACACAATCTAAAAATGGGCTATAGATCGCTAACAACTGAAGGTAGATCACCATACTAGGGACCATGGGGACTTACAGTACATTCGCTTCCTGCATGGGCCCTAGCTGGATTTATATCATCCCCTCAGCCGTTAGCATATTAGATGAGAGAATTGAACAGTCAGATCCATAACGATTGACGATATTGTTGAACCCATACTATTGATGTACTACGCCATTGTTGAGTTGTCTGACTGAAGGCTGGTTGAACACAGATCATTGGACCAACATGATACTGCTACAATCACGGCGTATAATTCCAAGTCGTCAATGTGAAGGGATGGATTTTCAAATGACCACAGTCCTGCCACTCACTGTTCAAGAATATGTGCTCCCCAACCCTTTACAAATACAGTCGACTATAATTGACTAAAGATGGTGTGATGCTACGAATGTAGTCAAAGAGACTCTATTGCAGACATTTGACCATTGCAGGCACTGATGGAAGAATGATGGGAGAAGAAGACTGGACCTAAGATCTGTGACGCCAGGAGACTTGCAGCTGCCTCCTGAGTGTGAGAGCCTGGGTTGATGTAAGAAGACCCAGAAGCTCCTGCTACTGTCAAAAAGATCTTGCTTGTGTGAATGCCAACAGCATGAGATGCTGTATCTTGTCCACATGTCAAGAGACATGGACATCTTGGTCAGTTAAGTGTCAAAAACAGCCCTGATCAATTGAAGTCAATGAGTCATAAACAACTCCAACTTCTTGTTGATAATCTACCTAAGTTGACAGAGCAACCTGCTCCTGAAGAATCTGAAGAGCTGTGTAAGCTTCAGACACAATTCCCCTGCAATGGCGTAACTGAGTGATGGGCTTCGTGATGCAGGTAAATGGCCATGAGTTCGTAGAAATGCCAAATGGAACTTTCCATTTGTAGTGTATTCCCTAGAAGACAAACTGAAAACGCTTCCAGTTACTCGGGTACGGTGCATGTAGATATGCATCTTGGAGATTGAGGCTGATCATGTAATCTTCTGGTTTGTTGATTGTATGAAGAAGTGCCAACAGCTGAGGCTCTGCGAGTGATGAGGAGGGTGACACATCAGGAGCGGTTATCCCTGGACCAGCTGTCTGTAACCTTCTGTCAGGGTGTATGATCCTACAAGATAAAGGTAGTTGAGTGATCTGAAGTTAAAGAGCTCTTTGGAAGTTGAAGCTTATACATGATCCATAAATGGTGGAAGGATCGATGCTCTAGGGTAGAACACATTCTCTGAGAGCATAAATCAAAGCAGCATTGAGGAGAAACAGTAGCTTCCTTTCTCCTCATCTTCCTGAGCTAGCAGGCTGGCGAAAAAATCATAAGACTACATCATGAGTTCATCATCGCAAGTCAAATTGACACCATGTGTTTCCAGACATCATGTGTCAGAACAGTCCACAATAAGACTTGGATTTTCTTAGTCTCTGGCCATGCCATGATGTTTTTCCCATGCTTGGTTGTACCCAAAACCGAGGTTGGTTGTGTGCCAAAAAGGTTTCTAACATCTTACACAAACTACCATCCTTACCTGTCCTCTTCATTATATCGTTATCTTTCTTATAAAGTTGAATTAAACCTTCTAGATATTTTTCTTTATTCTTTTTACTATTTCTACTATATCTTCTTTCTTCAAAGATGATACAAAATTGACATACATGTATCTGAAGAGATATAATGGAAAATTTATTCTCTATTTGAAACAGGTCGTCTGCACCCATTGACGACAAGAAAGAGAATGACTCCAGACACATGCTGCACAGATTTTTACAGGATCGTAAACTGCCTGCAAACACAGTTGGAAATGGCAAAATAACATTTGGCACGAAAGGATTTAAATACATATTAATATCCTTCCAACTTAATATTTTACTGCCTAGAAATGACTTTTTCAATGAAAATCCCATGCAACCTCATCTTTCACAACCAGACTCATTCTGAGGTTTCAAAGAGAGTTTATATCAGAATATATCACCAGTGAACAATATGAGACCTTTTAACATTGTAAAAAAGTTCATTTTATCACAGTACATGTGTATATACAAATTTAGTTCCATTTCATGCTGTCATTCCTTGTTTTGAATAGCATCACATAAAATAATGAGGTTCAAATTCAACAAAATGTGCTAAGTTCCCTTTTTCAAACCAATCCCAAAGGTGTAACCACATATTCAGACCTCGGACATACACTTCATAGGATTTGCTGGGGTATCACCAAAGTCAATTTCAATTTTTATCTTTCAGCAAATTGGGTTATGTATGGGTTTCAATATATGTAGAGGCATTATTATTAGACCGAAATCAACAGCTTTCTAATACATGACCTACATCCAATATGGTCACTATTAAGTTGACCTTCGGATGGGCCCTGTTAAACTTCAGATGATTACTTAAGACAGAAACTTATAAGCCTTAAGGATATCGATGGTTTGATGAAATGTACCTCTCTTCTTCTTCCTTTCTTTCGTTTTCTTCTTTTTCCTGTTTACTTTTCATCAATCGGATCCTCTCCAGTTCTTCTAATTTTTCACGTTCAAGACGACGTTTCCGAATTGCTTTGTCAGATAGATGCTTTGTCTTATCAAAATCAACCTATAAAACAGAAATATTTCAGTAATCAAAACAGTGTGTTTGGACATAATATACGAGATTTGTCTCTTATCATAACCAATGATAACTGGTGATCTGTCATCAAAGGTAGTAAAATACCAATAGAATTTGTCAGTTATAAATATGCAATAAATATTAAAAGTATGCAGAACACTGAAAACACCACAAGAAGATGCATTTCAGTGAAAGTAGCAAACATATTTCACAAATCACTGTGACTATGACCTGAAATGAAAGTAACTCAAAACAAATTTCAATCTAACACAAGAAGAATTGTGTATGGTTCCATATACAAAGATACAAAAACTGTATATTTTCGCACATACAGAAGGATTTTACCACCACTTCTTTCAGTTTCTCCTTTTCCTTTTTTTCCAGAGATCCCCAATTTTAATAAATATCTCTTCAAGGTCAGTGTCAGGAAGAGTGTATAGGCCATTCCAAGCATCTCTCGTTCTATTTGAGTGACCACACAAAACTGAGTTCATATCATATTGAAGAAATATATATTGCTTCGTGCATGGCTGAATCTGTGGTTTACAGGCTGTAGATCAAGCATCCACAGTTCCATGTCTATTATGCCCCACGCCTTCTTCTTTGGATGTACAGGTTGATATGTAGGTACAGGATGACAGCAGATCATGGTGGTTTTCTTGGAATTTCTCAACATATATGTTGGCATATATGACAAGGGATGTTGTCCACTCTTCTACTGACTGGATAGCCTCAGACTGGCACGACATTTTACGTCGACTTTATCCTGACAGCACTATCTATACCCTTCTATTTTTTCAATCCCATAATGAATATGGCCAGATCTACATATTATCCATACTGTATGTTATCCTTTATTGGTAGTTTGAGGAATGAACCAGCATTGTGAGTGTACTAAGGCCATCATATTGTCATTTGTGTATGCTATATTAGCATTAGGCGTATCATTGCCAACAAGAGTCCACAGACAACAATGCAGTTACTTGCATCACCTGACCAGTGTGTGATTCCAGCTAAACGCTGGTATAAGGGAGACAATTCTCCAGAGCTGTGGTAGTGTGCCTATTTCATTTTTGCTTTCACAAATATTACATTGCATTGAGGACTTATACAGAGGAAGGGTATACATTCATTAGCAGATTCATTTAATTCATGAAAATACCTCAATGTTCAAACAAATACCAGTTTGCCATTGTAAAATTTCATCTTGAATGAATAAGAGTATAAGGGTATTCTGTTGAGAGCTTGGAAATGGTCACTTTCACACTGGTCACTGTGTATCATGATTTTATATCATTATTAACAACAGTGGCGGTGTGAAATTTATCATCTAAAATTACATATAAAGAGGCATGATGTTGTGAATATAGACTAAAACAGGAGTGGTCCTAACTCTGATCCCTGGGGCATGCCTGCATGTACTAGGTTTAGGTCAGATTGGAAGCCTTTGATTTCTACACCCTGTTTACAGTTTTGTTGAACAATTTCAAAAGATTTATGTTTATGCCATGAGCCTTAAGTTTAACCAAAATTCCATTATGCAATACTTTATCAAAAGTGAGTGAATGAATGAGTACAGTGTCGGTCAAAAAGTAGTCGGCCTCACCTAGAAAATGATACAAATGCAGCTGTTCTCATGTTTTATTTTTCTACATATTATCTGTCAACCTCAAGCAAATTTGTTTAAGGTCTGATGTGACAAATGTATTACATGTTATGTAATATGCGCATGGAAGTGCAGTAAGACGAATTATCAGCTGAGTTTCAAAAACAAACATCGATCAAAGGATTAACCGATAACACGCTGATTGATTAATTACTTTTATCTTGCACAGCGGATTTGTGAAAAGGCAGTGTTTATGTATGTAGATTTTTTAACATTTTTTACCACTGGCAGATGGCTAAACTTCAAATTGTTTTCATTTGTTATCATAATAATGAAGATGGAAATATTAAAGATTTCATCTTTGTTGATCAATCTATACTTATACTATCAATTGTGTATGCGGGTGATGCAGCAGAGGTCACAAACCAGTCAAAAATTCTGGGATATCATCCGGGTACTCACGGAGAAAAACAATAACAAAAGCAACAAGCATTGTCACTAAGGTGACATAATTCCCCGCCACAAATTATCAAATCAAACTTAACAATGAAAGTGAAGGTCGTAGTTTAAGATGAAGTTAAATGTCAACAAAAACATGACCAGTCAACCTCTCTTGATATCTTGCTCTGTAGCTGTTCAAACGCACAAATATTTTCAAGACTGACTTTGACCTTGACATGAATGTCTTAGTGTATGAAATATGCAAAAATAGTAATAAAGAAATTGCTTATTGAAAAACATTCATGGGAAGTCTTGAAAGTCTATGAAGAAAATCCAGTGAACTGTTCTTGAGATATCTCACTGACAATCTTAACATGCAGTTTAACATGCTGAAATCTTCAAAGTGTCACCGTGACCTTAAAAATTAAGTGAAGGTTACCCAAATCAACTGGGCCCTGCGCCTTCCCTCGATGAAGTTTGATGTCGAATATGAAGAATATCCACGGTACTTGAGGTATCTCGCTGACAAGCTTAACATGCAGCTTAACTTGCTGAAATCTTCAATGTGTCGCCATGACCTTGAGAATTGGGCGAAGGTCACCAATATCGACTGGGCCCTGCGCCTTCCTTAGATAAAGCAATGAAGAAAGACCAGTGAACGTTTCTTGAGATATTTCGCTGACAAGTGTAAAACGTTAAAGTCCCTTGTGACCTTGAAATGAAGGTCAAGGTCACCAAACCTGACTGGGACCTTTCTTTTACTATGATGAACCTAGGTACCAAATATAAAGAAAGAATCCAGTCAACGGTTCTTAAGATATTCCAATTCGTTCGTACGTACGGACGGACGGACGGACGGACGGAGCCTAATACTATATCCCCTGCTTTGCGCTAAACGCGCGGCAGGGGATAACAGCCAGTCCACGGATATTGCTCTGGATCAGTGCCCCTGTTATGTATGGGTTTCACAGTCACTGACAAATGGGAGGATACCTTGGAGACACTACCCATCCCCCCTTTCAGATCATGTAATCATCATAAGGACAGAACGTATTCTAATGTTTCACTTATTCATACATGATGCCAAGGGTTCGAACAGCTCTCGGTATGTTGTAAACAGTACCAGCTTGAATATCTGAACACAATGTTTTTGAAAGATGAAAATGGGGTGTCCTTAAAAAACAGCCCACGTCTAAATATACATCAAGCAATCCAAATCTTTGACTGTTGATTATGACGGGAAGTCATCCAATACTACACTGAACATATGCTATAGAATGACCAGAAATTATTTAGAATTTTAGGAATATGTTTAATTGGATTTCTAGTATAAACAACCTTGACCAGCTATCAAGTGCTTGGTTTCATTCAAGAGACACAACTCCGTTAATCCTTTTTCATTAGTTTATGAAGAGTTATCCCCCTTTTACTTGCTAGCAGACGACATTTTCAGTGTTCCTCAGTATGGATGATTTAGAGAAGGGGAAGTTGATTTTAGAGTATTATAACAAGGACATCAGATCAGCTAAAGTGATTTCAAGTAGAACAGGCATCCCTTTGTCCACTGTTTATCGTGTTTTGAAAAAGATTGCAAATGGATATGGCATTGAACACAAGGAAGGCGCAGGTAGGCCCAGAAAATTGACTGTCAGTTTCAGTAGGTGGCTTGGTATTCTTGTTTCTAAAAACAAACGAAGGAGTTAAGAAAACTTAAGGCTGGATATGATTGATAGAGGAACTGTGGCTGTCTGTAAGGAGACAATTAGAACTGAGCTGCATGCAATGGGTTGGCAGAAAAGTCAAGGAATTCCATCACCGATCATGAAACCTGAACAAAAGGAGCGAAGGTTGAACTGGTGCTTACAGCATAGAAATTTTAACTGGGACAATGTGATTTTCTTAGATGAAAGTTCTGTGTGGCTGTTTCCTAATACACTGAAATTCTGGACCAAACAAACTAAAAAACCTTTGTATCAGCGCCCAAAGTATAGTCCGAAATTTAACGTGTGGGGTGGCATATCTGTGTTAGGGGCAACGCCACTCTGTGTATTTGAATGGAATATGAACAGTAAGCGGAACACAGATATTCTCGAAGGACATTTACTTCAATCTGCTCACGTGTTCTATGGAAACTTTTGGATTTTCCAGCAGAACAACGACCCAAAACATCATTCAAAGCATTCACAGGCCTGGTTTCGGATCCAAAATATGACATTATTAGATTGGCCAAGCTATAGCCCTGACCTAAATCCAATAGAAAATGTTTGGGGACTTATGAAGGAAAGTGTCAATAAGAAAAATCTGACAAATATTGCTGAAATGAAAGCAGAGGTGGTCCGATATTGGGACAGCATGGACCACGACTTTCTAACTTCTTTGATCAGTATTATGCCCCGCCACAAAAGCCTACATTGCTGCCCATGGTGACTTGATAAAAATGTAATTTTCTGAATAAAATTGATATTTTATACTTATCCTGACTCATGCTTATTTGCTTGTCTCCTTCTTCTTTCGAACTGTAGTGGAACACTTGTATCTCCTATTGAAGTTCCCTTTAATAAAGAACAGACGTAAAATCACTCTTGCCAAGAGTTATCCTCCCAGCTGTTTAGGCGGGAAACTGTGGCGCCACCGTCCCCACGTGCCTCACTCTCTCCTGATTATGAGCCCGACACTTGAATTTGCAGGGAAATCTAAAGTGTCTTGTGGGGAGGTTGGGAGGGCTTACCTCATGAGTCAGGATAAGTATAAAATATCAATTTTATTCAGAAAATTACATATTTTTCCTTATCCTGACTCATGCTTATTTGCTTGTAGAATCCGACGGAAAAGGCGGCAGGCAAGATACTTTGGATTCCATGTAGTGATTTACGTCTTCTATACCCCCCTATGGGAACTTCGAGTTGGCACTGTAATTAACTGCTAAACTCTGCTGCTGTTG